TCACTATGGAGTTGTGTTCTCCAACAGATTTCAGCATACACTTCTCCAGCCTCGAAGTAAAAGTAAATCCAACAAAATCAAGTCCAAGCACAGGGAAAAGCTTTGTGCCTCAGGATACAGTCCTTGCAGCACTGACTTTCCTAATTCTAATATCAGAAATAGACAAAAATACAAGTTACAGCTTCGTGACATCTTTTTCATTTAACAGAAAAATCAGCATGAAAGTTACTTATGTAGAAGATACTGAAAGACTGCAAGCTGATATATATATAAAGATTTCGATTGGGAAACAGAACATAACTTGATGTTAAACAGTGATAAATAATAAGTACTTAGAAATAGAAAAAATGATGACAAACAAAATACAGGGTACAAAACATAATCAAATCTGCCCATAGTAGGAAAGCAGCACGTAAAGGAAAGCAGCACGTAAAGGAAAGCAGCACGTAAAGGAAAGCAGCACGTAAAGGAAAGCTGCACGTAAAGGAAAGCAGCACGTAAAGGAAAGCTGCACGTAAAGGAAAGCAGCACGTAAAGGAAAGCAGCACGTAAAGGAAAGCTGCACGTAAAGGAAAGCAGCACGTAAAGGAAAGCTGCACGTAAAGGAAAGCAGCACGTAAAGGAAAGCAGCACGTAAAGGAAAGCAGCACGTAAAGGAAAGCAGCACGTAAATAATGATGTCTGACGATCTAACGTTTTGGGAGCATAACCAAGCAAATATTGCGTCAGCCTGAAAAATGATCGGATGGATTACGAGAACTTTCAGATCCAGGGATCCCATCACAAATCAGAGGTTCAGGGTTGTTCAATATCCTCCCAGCGAGTACAATAAATATTATCAGATGTAATAGAGGAAAAATAGATTGGTTAGAAAAACATGGCCCAGGAGCTCAAAACAAAAGTAAATTAAAAAAAAAAAATTGAGAGTTTTCTTCAGGAAGTGCTGAACTAACTGGGTTGTAGAAGATATGTGGGCCTGCGGGCCGATCCAAGCAACAGCCTGGTGGACCAAGCTCAAACAAGTGAAGCCTGGGCTCCGGGCCGGACTTGGGGAGTAGAAGAACTCTCAGACCCTCTTCAGGTAAGATCCAGGAAAGTTAAAGCAATGGAGTGGGGGGGGGGGGGCGATAAAGGGGAGGTGTGAAGAGAGAAAGCATGGATGTGTGAAGAGAACTCCCACCTGTTCTCCCTCCCATCTGCTCTCTCTCCCTCTTGTTCTCCCTCCCACCTGCTCTCTCTCCCTCTTGTTCTCCCTCCCATCTGCTCTCTCTCCCTCTTGTTCTCCCTCCCATCTGCTCTCTCTCCCTCTTGTTCTCCCTCCCACCTGCTCTCTCTCCCTCTTGTTCTCCCTCCCATCTGCTCTCTCTCCCTCTTGTTCTCCCTCCCATCTGCTCTCTCTCCCACCTGTTCTCCCTCCCATCTGCTCTCTCTCCCTCTTGTTCTCCCTCCCATCTGCTCTCTCTCCCTCTTGTTCTCCCACCCACCTGCTCTCTCTCCCTCTTGTTCTCCCTCCAACCTGCTCTCTCTCCCTCTTGTTCTCCCTCCAACCTGCTCTCTCTCCCTCTTGTTCTCCCTCCAACCTGCTCTCTCTCCCTCTTGTTCTCCCTCCCACCTGCTCTCTCTCCCTCTTGTTCTCCCTCCAACCTGCTCTCTCTCCCTCTTGTTCTCCCACCCACCTGCTCTCTCTCCCTCTTGTTCTCCCTCCCACCTGCTCTCTCTCCCTCTTGTTCTCCCTCCCACCTGCTCTCCCTCCCTCTTGTTCTCCCTCCCACCTGATCTCCCTCCCTCTTGTTCTCCCTCCCACCTGCTCTCCCTCCCTCTTGTTCTCCCTCCAACCTGTTCTCCCTCCAACCTTTTCTCCCTCCAACCTGTTCTCCCTCCAACCTGTTCTCCCTCCAACCTGTTCTCCCTCCAACCTGTTCTCCCTCCAACCTGTTCTCCCTCCAACCTGTTCTCCCTCCATCCTGTTCTCCCTCCAACCTGTTCTCCCTCCATCCTGTTCTCCCTCCAACCTGTTCTCCCTCCCACCTGTTCTCCCTCCCACCTGCTCTCTCTCCCTCTTGTTCTCCCTCCCACCTGTTCTCCCACCCTTGTGTTCTCCCTACTTACTGTTCTCCCTCCCTCCCTCCCTCCCACCTGTTCTCCCTCCCTACTGTTATCCCTCCCATCTGTTCTCCCTCCCACCTGTTCTCCCTCCCTACTGTTTTCCCTCATTCCTGTTCACCCACCCTCCTGTTCTCTCCCTCATGTTCTCCCTCCCTCCTGTTCTCCCTCTGTCAAGGTTCTCACCCCTTCCTACCTTATATGGTTAGGGCCGCTCCCACGGGTCTTCGCCCCTCCCTACCTGGCGCCACTGCTCGCCCCGGGGCTCCCCAGTCGACCTAGGGCTGGCCTTATATACGCCCCTAGTGAGTGGAGAGGTTCAAGCCCACCTGTCTCACAGCTGAACCTGCCCGTCTTGACACTGGGATACTCTCTCTTTCTCTATTTAGTCTATTCAAGGTCGCCAGCTGGGTGTTTATACTCGTGTCCCAGCAACACATCAGTGGTCTCATTAGTTATCTTAAATCAAGGATGCAATCTCATGTGCAATATAAGGTGGCATAAATGGTTGCACTCAAAATAGCCCTAGAGAATGGAGGCTCACTCAGACACATTGGTAAGATTAAAAGTTTACTGAAGAAAATATATAAACTTGCGTACAGGAATAATATAGGTGGAATTGTCCGATGGCGGCAACACTCCTCTCGTCACGCCTCTGGGAACACGGTCAGCTGGTCAGGTTCAACTGTCAGTCAGCGGTGACACACCTCGCGCCTCTGGGAACACGGTCAGCTGGTCAGGTTCAACTGTCAGTCAGCGGTGACACACCTCGCGCCTCTGGGAACACGGTCAGCTGGTCAGGTTCAACTGTCAGTCAGCGGTGACACACCTCGCGCCTCTGGCAACTCGGTCAGCTGGTCAGGTTCAACTGTCAGTCAGCGGTGACACACCTCGCGCCTCTGGCAACACGATCAGCTGGATTATTCAAAGTTCGTTTCTGGCCTCTTGAAAACCAGCCGCTGCTTCCAGGTGCACATACGTCACTGCATCTACATATTTATGTTTACACACACCAACTCATGTCTACATGAGCTCCTTGGCTCCTAGCCTAACACTCTGTCACATGGACAATAAATGGCAACAAGAAATGTTCACGATATACAAAATATCCTAGCTCGCCTGGATCAAAGGGGTAAAGGGAGGGATAATTATCTGCCTAACTTCATTCCGTTACGTGGCCGACCCGTCCTCTGGCGAGGGATGTTGAGGTTCCTGGTCCTGGCTTCTGGTATTCCGTTGATCAGTTTCCCACGCACGCAAGTTCCTCAGTCGTCTTTGTAGTAGTGCGTCTTCGCCGTCCTCACACCCGGCAGGCACGGTCCTCCTCCTCTTCTTCGGGATACTAGAGTTAGGGATCTGCACCATTGTCCTCTTCCCCCTCTCACTGGCACTCTAGACACAACTTGCAGTCCAGTACAGCTTCCACTCTCCTCACTTCCAGTAGATTTGGCCCGGCCGTCGCTGCCTGCTTCATATGTAGAACGCAGTCCGCTGGGCGTCCCAGACGTCCCCAGCCTAACGTTCGTCCCTGCTGCAGACTCTTGATAATAGAGCTCCTGACTTTCTAACCCAGCCAATCCTTGCTTCTTGGCACTCCACGGGAGTCGGATGACCTCCCAGAATGTCTGAAGTATTAAAGCGATACTTAAATTCACTGAGAGGGGTTCTCTAGCCCCTAGATCCAGAGCTCACTCGAGCGCGTGACGTACTCTTCCCGCCCAGGCGCCAGCGTCCCAAAGGACCATGTTCTCCTGGTGCCTGGCTAGGTAAACTGATCCTGCTATTAACACTTACTCAAACCACCTATACAACACTTAACTGCCACCATTTCATTCTTAGTATAACTGTAATATCCTCGCTTTACAATATACTGGACAACATATTAAAATAGTGTAACAAACTAGCTACGAGTCCCAAATAATCTTACGTCTGGCAGGGACTAAACAACCCGCAATTTTATATTTGTAGCCAGTAAACTGCCTACATTGCTTAAAAAGATCCAAACACTCCTTTCTTTTCCATAACCTATGTAATTAACACTCTAATTTTCCTAATTGCAATCTAATACCATTAACATTTTCAAGGTAAACATGCAGGTATTCCCCACTCCATAGGATCCTGGCGCCTATATGCAAACAATAAGTGTTAGGGTCGTAACACCATCCATCTATTCATCCCTTAACAGCCCCCGTGGCTTAGTGGTAAGACGCTCACCTCGCGTTTCATGAGCGCTTTGTCCTGGGTTCGTATTCTGGCCCAGGGAAGATTTACTGGGCGCAAATCCTTAACTGTAGCCTCTGTTTAACCCAACAGTAAAATGGGTACCTAGTTGTTAAACAATTTTGCGAGGTTGTATTCCGAGAACATAGGATTACGGACTTGCTCGAAACGCTACGCTTGCTAATGGCTTGTTTATATACATAAAAAAAACTCTGAGAAAGTGGTGTGGCTTGAAAAAACATAGAAACTGATGGAGAATCGTCTGTTTTATGGGAATACTTAAAAGTTATGGACAGCAAGCAAGTTCTGTTAATTTCCCCGTATCAGTGAATAATTGTGTATATTGCTATAAGGTTTTGTTTTACGTTTGCTCTAAAAATATTTAGATGTGTTGGCGGGGGGACAGTGCCAAAAATCGTCGTGGGGGATCTGAGTGTGACCCTGTCATACTGTATCCTTTTGAATTCTGGCGACCCCGACTATCCTATGTTCATCCCATACCCCAGACCATTCCCTTTCTCAATTTGGGTGAGCCAAGTCCCAAGCATATGGCCTCCAACTTTGGACAGTCAGACATTCTCTCTTATAGTATAGATATAAATATATTTAATATTCATTAGTTTTGAGATTTCTAACACAATAATATATTTAAATAAACATATATGTTTAAACGGTAGGTACGTATGCCATAGTGGATGCTAAGTGGGCCCTGACGCTTGGGGCCCTTGTGGAGGAGCTGGACCCCAGGGTAGCGGCTCCTGCTGGGACCTCCACCAGGGACCACTCTGCCAGACTCCCGGACACTACACCCACTACAGTCTCTCGCAACAACACCCGGCACGTGTGTCCGGAGGTCTATTATGGCCGTTCCTATGATCATCCCTTCCACCAACACGGCATGGAGCCAGAGAAGTGCACCTCCGTATCTCCCTTTGGTGATGTTGTCACTGCCGTCCTGCCCGCTCTGTCTTGGCCGCCACCCACCACCCACTTTGTGATCTCCCACATCAGGAAACATTATAACATTCCCATTATTGTGTTAGCATCTAAGAAGTTATCAACCGACATAAAGCTTTATAATGTTAGTGTTGTATATCCTAAGAAGAGCAAGTCAGAGGCATCAAGTCTTAATTATATAATGAAACTGGTGAAGACACCATATGTGTTCATGGGGACATCTCTGGCACACTTCAGCAATCAGTCGTCCCTGGAGCGGCTGGTGCGGGTACTGGATGACATAGCCCATGTGGCCGTAGCCGCGGGGGCCGCTAGGGACCTCCAGGGACGCTGGACCCACGGTTGCATGCAGCAGCACATGGCCAACTACCACGCCTCCTACACCATGGGTTACTATTACTCCAAGTATGAGTGTATGTACTGTGATGACGTCTTGACTCCATTTGTTACTAGTGCCAAGCTGGTCAAGAAAGTGGCTTTCACTGGTGGTCTTAACGGCCCAGCCATTTACCGTGACTGGTTTGTCAAGGTGCGTGAAGAGGGCCACTTAATCATGGTGTGTCCAGACGTGATGTTCTTCCTCACTAACCACGTCACCATGGCCAGTAAAGATTGGCTGCCTGTGGCACGTCGCTGGGTTCTACAGAAGGTTCTGTCTTACACTGGAGAAAGTTTTAATTTTACCTGCAAAAACATCAACATCAGTTGCAATAACATTCTGGCAATTACAAAATCCTTTCTTCTCCCTCCCTGTTGCATTAAAATGGCTGTGACACAACTAAATATGGTGATTGATGTTTCAGAGAAAAATGGATTGGAGTATGAGTTGCAGTCTGGGTCTGCACTCGGTGCCGTCAAATTCGGTTCGTATCTCCCGTGGGACACAGACCACGATATATACATTGAGTGCAAGGACTTCAATATTTGGTACCGGAAACTTGGCCCAGTTGCAAGAGCTAAGAACTGCACACAGAAAATCAAGTACAAAAATGTTTTTTTGAAGATTGTGTGTCCTTCATTCACTCTGGATATTTACTGTCGGGAAAGGTTGAGTCGGATGTTCCTCCCAGACGAGTACGTGGATACCCCAACCTCTGTCTGGTACTCTGGTCGCTGGGCCAAAGTGGTCGCTAATCCTGGTCTTTTCAGCAGGAATTACATTGGTTTCGAGGACCTGAAACACCAGCAGCACTCGACCCACTGGAAGGGTTCTGTTGGCAGTGTCCATGCCGGGTCGTGGCTGCCTTGTAGTAGTCCCCAACACCACTCCTGTCTTGACCGCTTCCCCGCCGACGGTAGCATCCCATTTGTGTAAATAAATAAAAAGGTTAATATTCTCGTCATAAATCAAATCAAATTATATGTGAGTGAAGTGTAAACAGAGGCTCCCACAATCTCCACTTCAGCAGTAGAATAGACCAAAGTGTCAGACTACGTCACAGAGTAGGGTGAAGCTGGAAGTGCAGTTGTTGTAACAGGGAGAGATGGTTCCTTCTCCCATGAGTGTGGAGCGTGTCTCAGTAACTGGGCCTTCACTCTTCAAACAGAATTGGTTGCCATAATCCTTGCACTCGAGCGCGTATATGAATCCAAAGTTGACACGCTAATTGTAAGTGACTCCTTGTCATCCTTGACTGCCCTCAGCTCCCCAAGGCATAACTGTGACGTGCTTATCTCTGAAGCTAGACACAGATATAGTGAAATAATCAACGATGGAGTCAGAGTTTGTCTCCTGTGGATTCCTTCCCATATTGGTCTCCGAATGCATGATAGAACTGGTGAGTTAGCAAATACTTTTACTCGTAAAGAGAGAATTGATTACCAACTTGGACTGCCTTTGAGCAGCCTGAGGGCAGCAATATCCCAGGAACATCAACTAAATTTCGGAGACTTGAGGCAAAGTGAAATTCACACCAGTTATTCCATCTATCATCATTCTATTATGCAGGAAGAACCGCACGTCTATGGGTCATCCAATAATGTTAGCAGACTTCTAGATGTTACCACTGCTAGGCTTAGGCTCGGCTACAAGTACCTCTGGGAGTGTGTAACACCTGCTGATGTAGATATGACTAAATATAAACTCAGTCAGCTGAACTATTCTCATACTTTGCGTCATTATATAATGGAGTGTGAAAAAATCACGGAATTTAGAGATGACACCATCAATAGTGTCCAAGGAATGTGTAAGTACTTCATTCATAATGATGTGCTGCCCGAAATCTTAGCGAAGTATCCAAAATTTGCTTACTGTAGGTAATGCATGCATATGACTGTGAAGCTGCCGCCCAGTTGGGTGGGTGTGCAGCAAGACTAGTAACTGTGAGACTCATCATAGATGTAAAGTACCTTGTATAGTGACTGCTGTGAGCTTCTTGTTGATCACTTGTGATACAAAAGATTACTGATGTGTGTATTTGTGTGGGTGATTAGATATGTATGTGTATGTATATATGTATACGTATATATATATATATATATATATATATATATATATATATATATATATATATATATATATATATATATATATATATATATATATATATATATATATATATATATATATGTGTCGTTCCTAGTAGCCAGAGCGCACTTCTCAGCCTAATATGCAAGGCCCAATGTGCCTAATAAGTCAAGTTTTCATGAATTAATTGTTTTTCGACTACCTACCTACCTAACTTAACCTAACCTAACTTTTTCTGCTACCTAACCTAACCTAACCTATAAAGATAGGTTAGGTTAGGTTAGGTAGGGTTGGTTAGGTTCGGTCATATATCTACGTTAATTTTAACTCCAATAAAAAAAATTGACCTCATACATAATGAAATGGGTAGCTTTATCATTTCATAAGAAAAAAATTTGAGAAAAATATATTAATTCTGGAAAACTTGGCTTATTAGGCAAATCGGGCCTTGCATAGTAGGCTGAGAAGTGCGTTCTGGCTACTAGGTACGACATATATATATATATATATATATATATATATATATATATATATATATATATATATATATATATATATATATATATATATATATATATATGTACATGTATGTATGAGAATGTGTACATTGTATATATAACATTAATAATTTTGTAACTATCGTTAAAAAATTTTATTTGCTTAGCTAAACGAACTAGAGGGTTCAGTTCCTTGACCGATTATGTGCCTCTGTAATCCTTTACAACACCGCCCACGGATGGGTATGGGGTGCATAATAAAGAAAGAAATTGAAATTGAGTTTACAATAGTCTAACATTATTCGACGCAGGCAGAAAATCTTTATTTAATAGGCTATAATTTATTGTCATATAAACAATAGTCTCATTTGCTAGTATGGAATATTATAATACAGAGAATATTCTGACGTTTACGTGAAGATTTACTTCACTGTACTTGATTTCCTTGCAAATGTTGAACAACCTTTTATGTGTTCTCGAATGAAATGAAATGACTTATAATTATTTGAAATGATTTTGGCTTTTAAATATTTTGATATGTATCAGTGATGTCCCCCCATGCTCCACCCTCACCTCCTCCCTCATGCTCCACCCTCACCTCCTCCCCCATGCTCCACCCTCACCTCCTCCCCCATGCTCCACCCTCACCTCCTCCCTCGTGCTCCACCCTCACCTCCTCCCCATGCTCCACCCTCACCTCCTCCCTCGTGCTCCACCCTCACCTCACCTCCTCCCCCTCGTGCTCCACCCTCACCTCCTCCCTCGTGCTCCACCCTCACCTCCTCCCCCGTGCTCCACCCTCACCTCCTCCCTCGTGCTCCACCCTCACCTCCTCCCTCGTGCTCCACCCTCACCTCCTCCCTCGTGCTCCACCCTCACCTCCTCCCTCGTGCTCCACCCTCACCTCCTCCCTCGTGCTCCACCCTCACCTCCTCCCTCGTGCTCCACCCTCACCTCCTCCCTCATGCTCCACCCTCACCTCCTCCCTCGTGCTCCACACTCACCTCCTCCCTCGTGCTCCACCCTCACCTCCTCCCTCGTGCTCCACCCTCACCTCCTCCCTCGTGCTCCACCCTCACCTCCTCCCCCATGCTCCACCCTCACCTCCTCCCTCGTGCTCCACCCTCACCTCCTCCTCCACCCTCGTGCTCCACCCTCACCTCCTCCCTCGTGCTCCACCCTCACCTCCTCCCTCGTGCTCCACCCTCACCTCCTCCCTCGTGCTCCACCCTCACCTCCTCCCTCGTGCTCCACCCTCACCTCCTCCCTCGTGCTCCACCCTCACCTCCTCCCTCGTGCTCCACCCTCACCTCCTCCCTCGTGCTCCACCCTCACCTCCTCCCTCGTGCTCCACCCTCACCTCCTCCCTCGTGCTCCACCCTCACCTCCTCCCTCGTGCCCACCCTCACCTCCCCCTCGTGCTCCACCCTCACCTCCTCCCTCGTGCTCCACCCTCACCTCCTCCCTCGTGCTCCACCCTCACCTCCTCCCTCGTGCTCCACCCTCACCTCCTCCCTCGTGCTCCACCCTCACCTCCTCCCTCGTGCTCCACCCTCACCTCCTCCCTCGTGCTCCACCCTCACCTCCTCCCTCGTGCTCCACCCTCACCTCCTCCCTCGTGCTCCACCCTCACCTCCTCCCTCGTGCTCCACCCTCACCTCCTCCCTCGTGCTCCACCCTCACCTCCTCCCTCGTGCTCCACCCTCACCTCCTCCCTCGTGCTCCACCCTCACCTCCTCCCTCGTGCTCCACCCTCACCTCCTCCCTCGTGCTCCACCCTCACCTCCTCCCTCGTGCTCCACCCTCACCTCCTCCCTCGTGCTCCACCCTCACCTCCTCCCTCGTGCTCCACCCTCACCTCCTCCCTCGTGCTCCACCCTCACCTCCTCCCTCGTGCTCCACCCTCACCTCCTCCCTCGTGCTCCACCCTCACCTCCTCCCTCGTGCTCCACCCTCACCTCCTCCCTCGTGCTCCACCCTCACCTCCTCCCTCGTGCTCCACCCTCACCTCCTCCCTCGTGCTCCACCCTCACCTCCTCCCTCGTGCTCCACCCTCACCTCCTCCCTCGTGCTCCACCCTCACCTCCTCCCTCGTGCTCCACCCCTCACCCTCGTGCTCCACCCTCACCTCCTCCCTCGTGCTCCACCCTCACCTCCTCCCTCGTGCTCCACCCTCACCTCCTCCCTCGTGCTCCACACTCACCACCTCCCCCATGCTCCACCCTCACCTCCTCCCTCGTGCTCCACCCTCACCTCCTCCCACGTGCACCACCCTCACCTCCTCCCACGTGCTCCACCCTCACCTCCTCCCTCGTGCTCCACCCTCACCTCCTCCCTCGTGCTCCACCCTCACCTCCTCCCTCACCTCCTGCTCCACCCTCACCTCCTCCCTCGTGCTCCACCCTCACCTCCTCCCTCGTGCTCCACCCTCACCTCCTCCCTCGTGCTCCACCCTCACCTCCTCCCTCGTGCTCCACACTCACCACCTCCCCCATGCTCCACCCTCACCTCCTCCCTCGTGCTCCACCCTCACCTCCTCCCTCGTGCTCCACCCTCACCTCCTCCCTCGTGCTCCACCCTCACCTCCTCCCTCGTGCTCCACCCTCACCTCCTCCCTCACCTCCTGCTCCACCCTCACCTCCTCCCTCGTGCTCCACACTCACCACCTCCCCCACTCCACCTCCCTCCCTCGTGCTCCACCCTCACCTCCTCCCTCGTGCTCCACCCTCACCTCCTCCCTCGTGCTCCACCCTCACCACCTCCCTCGTGCTCCACCCTCACCTCCTCCCTCGTGCTCCACCCTCACCTCCTCCCTCGTGCTCCACACTCACCTCCTCCCTCGTGCTCCACCCTCACCTCCTCCCTCGTGCTCCACCCTCACCTCCTCCCTCGTGCTCCACCCTCACCTCCTCCCTCGTGCTCCACCCTCACCTCCTCCCTCGTGCTCCACCCTCACCTCCTCCCTCGTGCTCCACACTCACCACCTCCCTCGTCTCCACCCTGCTCCACCCTCACCTCCTCCCTCGTGCTCCACCCTCACCTCCTCCCTCGTGCTCCACCCTCACCTCCTCCCTCGTGCTCCACCCTCACCTCCTCCCTCGTGCTCCACCCTCACCTCCTCCCTCGTGCTCCACCCTCACCTCCTCCCTCGTGCTCCACCCTCACCTCCTCCCTCGTGCTCCACCCTCACCTCCTCCCTCGTGCTCCACCCTCACCTCCTCCCTCGTGCTCCACCCTCACCTCCTCCCTCGTGCTCCACCCTCACCTCCTCCCTCGTGCTCCACCCTCACCTCCTCCCTCGTGCTCCACCCTCACCTCCTCCCTCGTGCTCCACCCTCACCTCCTCCCTCGTGCTCCACTCACTCACCTCCTCCCTCGTGCTCCACCCTCACCTCACCACCTCCCTCGTGCTCCACCCTCACCTCCTCCCTCGTGCTCCACCCTCACCTCCTCCCTCGTGCTCCACCCTCACCTCCTCCCTCGTGCTCCACCCTCACCTCCTCCCTCGTGCTCCACCCTCACCTCCTCCCTCGTGCTCCACCTCACCTCTCCCTCGTGCTCCACCCTCACCTCCTCCCTCGTGCTCCA